GCGCTGGCCTGGCTGGCGCCGTCGGAGGACCTTGTTCGGAAGCAAGTCTCGATCCACGATATCCGTCCGGGTGGAGGGGGACCCGAATCCCACCAAAGCTTAGGGGCTTTTCCCTGTATTCCTAAAACAGAAAGTCAGTACGACACTCGTGTATTGCCGTCCTGAGGCGGGCTGGTACGTAAGTAAGTGTAAGGTTTGGTTCTCACCTCGTAATTGTTGCAAAGGTCCGCAATACGATAACGCGCGAGCGCGGCCAGCTTCTTGACTGCATTTTGGGACAGGAAACCTTGGTTGATGTCGATCACGTCGTCTTCTATAGCGGAATGGTACACCTCCCCAAGCACCTGCAGCCTTTCTGTTAGACAATTCGCTTCCGAGAACGAAATATGATGAGTGCGAGGAAGAGAGACAAGAGGGGAGAGGAAGGCGAGAGAGAGCGTCCTACTTACCCGTCGAGCGATATCTGCAATCTTGAACGTATCTTGCGGAACATTGAGCAACGCCTCGGTGATGTATGGCCTGACCTGTGCGTTCAGGCACCGCATGAATTTCTCAGAGTCACCGCCATTCGGGCCAATAGGAAAGTCGGGACCGTAGTGCATTCGTTGCCTCTTTCGAGGCGGTTCGGCCTCAGCAGGCCGTGAGCTGGTTTCGCGGTCATCGTCGAGTGTGAGGTCGATAATGTCGGTCTTCTTATTCGGGGCGGCCGTTAGATCGATCGTCGTGGCATTCGACTTGCCCTTCGGACTCGCAAACATAGTCGCGATCCCAAGGACATCGACGCGTCGTCGTCGTCGTCCAGCTAAGGCTCGGCCAGCGTACACGCGTAAAGTGAAGGTCGTCGGACGCGTAATTGTAGATCGTCGGGTCGCATTTAATTAGAGCGAAGAAGGTAGCTATAATGGGTCAACAGAGGCGGGTCAGGTGGAAGTGCTAAGAAAAAGTGGACCCTGGCACCTTTCTGTCACTCACAAGGGTCTAAAACAGTCTTACGTAAGAAATCATTTCTTTCTATAAGATCTAAAAGAGTAAAACTATACTAATAAATTCTCTTAGACTATTATTGATTTTAGTCTAAGCTACTAAACCTGATATTATATAGCATAGCTCAAATTGAAATGTAATTTATAATAGTCTCTTAAATGAATAAAGATTGATTAACTGTTCAGTATCAAAGAAATATTTAATCATTCAAAAACATTGTATTCGGACATTGAATCACCAGACAAACATTAAAAGGATGTAACCTAAGACATTTGCGACAACTCTTTGAGCGCAAATCCTGTCGCTCATTGACATGGAAAGCGTTGCGTTGCTTCCAGTCACATATCAACAACACTTCTGGGCTCTTCGCGAGGGGCAGCACACTCACTTTAAGCCACGAGAACATCCAGCAAAATAATCCAATTCCTTCAAGAAATCTTTAAAATGCCCAAAGAAACGCTTTGCAACTATTGATTCCACATTTGTTCATCGCGGAAGTTGTCATAGAACAAGATTGAACTCGATATCGAATATACCTACTCTGTGCCCCGCGGACCGTCTTGCGCTGATACGGCGCGTCACTCTGCCGTCGCGTGCATTCATCGAGGGACAACGCCAAGCAACAAAGTCTAAATGCGCCGGTAATAAATGAACAGTCTAATCGAATGGCTGTAGAACAACGTTGAACCGAATAGCCCCCGTCCAATGCCGTCATGTCGCATGCCGGACCGGAGCGCCATTGGCTTCGGAGGTCATCGGCCCCGCAGATGCCAGCCAGATGCGCCAGCTCACGCTCTCCAGCGCATCAAAGTCCGACATGGCACATGTTAAACTTTATGTGGTGGTTTTTTTTCCGGCTTTACAGGCGCAAAAGATCGACCTTAACGGGATCAGGCTTTCAATGGAAATCACACGATACAGTACACTTTTCAACTATGCAATACGCGCATATACTGCTAGATTTAATAATGAGTTTATAAATAGTTAGAGGCATACTACTTGGTAGGTATTGCTCTTGTATAGGTGAGTACGCGAGGTATCAAAATGTAACTTATTCAGCTAGCGCTATAACGAAAGTATGCATTAAAGCGGTTCCCATCAATATCAAAACATGCCTCATAACTTTAGCATCACTGCAATAAGGTTACGTTTCTTTATGAAATTTAGTGGTTGTAAACTCTAGAAAGCAAATAGATCATCTTATATGGTACAGCATTGCCCGCCTGTATGTGACACGACATCATCCAACGCCAATCCTCTAAATAAATAAACCTTCTAAAGCTTGGCCTTGGTGGCCGGCTCCGCGTTGATCTCCTCGTACATCTGGTCGATCTGCGTCCTGAACGCCTTTGCGGTTTGCGGTCTCTTGAGCTTAAGACTGTTCGTACTAGGTCAGCAGGTGTCCATGCCTAGTGCTAATAAGGTAGTTTCCACTTACGTAGGTGTCAACAGCTCGTTCTCGATGCTGAAGGGGTCGATGGTGAGGTAAACGCTGCGCACACGCTCGTAGCTGTTGAACTTGTGTTTCTTGCCAATCCGGTCAAGCTCTGCGAGCAGGGCCTTCCTGACCTTGTTGTCGGCGCCAGCTGCCTTGATTGCTGCGAGATCGGTCTTGTCGATGGTCTTCTTCAGGATCTTGCTTGCAAATGGCGCAAAGTTCTCGGGGTCGACACCAAAGACAGCGACGAGCGACGACTGAGACGGGTCACCGTGGACGTATGCCATGGCCAGCAGACTGCAGCTGCCCAGGTAGACGTTTTCGATACGCTCAGGCGAGATGTACTCTCCTTGCGACAGCTTGAGGACGTTCTTCTTGCGGTCGACGATCTTGAAGCGACCCATGTTGTCGACCTCGGCAATATCTCCAGTATGGAACCAACCATCTGCATCGAGGGCCTTGCTCGTCTCTTCCTCGTTCTTGTAGTACTCCTTGAAGATGCTGGGACCGCGGAGGAGAATCTCGCCACGGGGGTAAGGCTTGTCTGTGACGAAGTAGTCAAAGTCTGGAACCGACTCCAAGCAGATCTCATTGCAAGAGGCTGGCGGTCCGATGTTGCCCAGGGTGAAGTCACCCTTCAGCTGAACAGTCGAGACGGCGTACGTCTCCGTCAGGCCGTATCCCTGCACAAAATGGTTGCCGAAAGCCGCGCGCAAGAACTCGTGGACGTCAGGGTCCAACTGAGCGCTACCGCTGACCATGCTGTGCGCCTTCTTGAGGCCGACAGCGGCACGAACCTTGGGGGTCCAGATTCTGTCGTACAAGAAGTGAGAGTTGCTTGCCTTGCCAACGGGCTGCTTCATGTTGGCCTTCTTGGTGCTGACAACCTGGCGAGACAGGGATCCCTTGACACCGTCTGCGTCAATGGTGGCAGTTCGGATGGCCGAGTTGAAGCGGTTGTACAGACGGGGAACAGACATAAACCCTGTGGGCTCGAGAATCTTCATGTCGTCTACCAGTCCAACGATATCGCCGCGGAAGAAACCGATGCAAGCGCCTTCGGCCAGAGCGGTTTGGTCGACCATTCTTCCGTAGATGTGGGCGAGGGGCAGGTAAGAAATGTGCACGTCCTTGTAGGTAACGGTGCCGGCGGATCTCGCGGCTGTGAGGCCTGCAACGGCGTTGCCGTGGGTCAGGACAACACCCTTGGGCATACCGGTAGTTCCAGAGGTGTAGTTGATGGTGACGTAGTCGGTCGAGCGTGGGGGACGCATGGGGCGACCGGACTTGAGGCCGAGCTCCTCGACGCCAGCCATGGAGTAAATCTGGATGCCATTCTGGGCAGCGATGCCGTTCAGAACGGACAGCTTGGAGTAGCCAGCCTGTTCGCCATCGTCGAGGGAGTCAAGGCACACAATGAGCTTGAGTGATGGGAGGCGCGGGGCAAGCTTCAGCAAGACGGGGATGTGCGGCAACGAGGTAGCCACGCAAGCCAAGTTGGCGTGGTTGATGATGTATTCGGTCGTGTCGGGGCCGAGGGTCTCGTAGAGAGAGACGGTGAAGAGAGATTGGGATGCAGCACCGAGATCTAGTAACTTTGAGTCAGTATGCAGTTTGCGCCTCGTGCTTGGCATGTGACAGTCAACGTACCGGCAATGTGCCACTCGGGGCGGTTTTGCGACCACAAACCGACACCGTAGTTGTCGCTAGTGATGCCAATCTTCTGATGAATCTCAATCAGACCAGCGCCGAAGTTCTTGCGACGCTCGGCAACCTGGGCATAAGTAGCCCAGGTGTACTTGTTCTCCCAGTCCTTGGTCGCGGGGTTCCATGCTCGGTGACCCAAGCACTTGGCGTTGGGACGCTTCTTGGAGGACTCTTCAAACAAGTCGTGAACGGTCTGGACCGCGGGATCAAAAGTGGACAGCAGAGGGCCGTCACGGAAGCGCCAATGGCGATAGATGGCACTGCGACCTTCCTTCTCGGAGCCTGGGATCGGGACTCCATAGGGCGAGCCGGGAGGTGGCGGGTTGGCCAGCTCCTGTATGTATGCGGCGGTGTCTTTTGTGGGAGCCATGTTCGCAGCGACAGCGGGAACCTGTGGGGGAGTGCTTGCAGTCGACGACTGTTGGTTACGTTGTTGACGGACGATCTACCTCGATCTCGCTGCCAATTCGTTGGGGATTCGACGGTGCAGCAGGATATGGCGCAAAGGAGTAAGACTAGATGCTGGGAGCCTAGTGAGATGGAGGCGATGTGCGGGAGGGAAAGATGTGAAGCTCGTTGAAAGGTGTCGGGACGGAAAGGTTTTGAAAGGAGAAAAAAAAAGTTGGAATAAACAGAAGTAATCCGTCCGAGAAGGATTTCGGGACAAACGAGGGGGGGAGCTTGTCTAGGTTATTCAAAGTTTTGTCTACAACGGAAGATCGAGTCGAGCCAAGTGCGCGTCGAAGCTACTCCGTACGGGGGATTCGGTTGTCGTTTCTTGGCCTCCAAGTGAGAAGGTGCAGGAAACGGAGAGACGATCCAATGAGCGAGGCCGAGTTTGGGAGCGTAGGCCGAGGCACAAGTCTCCAGAATGGCGAGGGTGCCACTCAAAGGTCTCAAGGTCCTCGGCAACCCCAGATGGTGAGTGCGCTAAGGGGACCACTACAGCTGTTGAAGGGTGCTGATTGGCACCAGGAGGACCCGCCAAGGGGGCGCTGGATGCAGTGGCTTGCGGGGGCGCTGGGGGGCTGGCGGTGGAGGGAGTGGGAGCTGAAGCTGGGGGTTCTGGGTCGGAGATTCGCAAATAATGGGGAAAGATACCCCGTGGTTTCCGTCATGACCTCACAGCAAAGTGTCCACGTGGAGGAATGCGTCTGCTGTTGGCCGTGTGGCCATGCATACTACCTACCTTACCTTATGGGTGTATCTACGGGGCAGGTAACACAGTATTGCCAGCCATGTGGTGAGACCTGGCCTGGAGAGACCCGAATCAACATGTGAGTTACACCAGGCCAGCCTCCTTGTTGTGATAAGCTATGAGGTATTCGTACGGAGTATTTCACAGTTCGTAAGCTCAACAATGACAGTGACATCTTAGCGGGGTTATGCATATGGGGGAGGCTTAATTTCCCAGCAAACGGGGATCAGTCATTCATCCACTCTTTACAGGTAGATCCCCGACAGCGGAGCTGTCATCCGTCACTTCCCCTGAGCACCGAATACTAATCGAAATCTCCTGCTATGCAATTGACAACAATAACTACCTTTCTTACTGTCTTCTATCACGACTATGAAGCTCATGATATTGCTGATCTTCAGTATCAACCACGTCAACTCGTAGGATGCTGTCAATGATGCACGCACTGAAGAGATGGTCAGTCTGTGAAGGGGACTAGCAGGCCGGATTTGTCACATGCCAGAGCTGTGCTCTCAGTCTCAGGTCCGGGCGCAGGACAGCTGTCTTACTCCGGGCGGAGGTCATTGGACACCCGTACCCGAAAGGGCCGAACAAGTCCGGGTCCCACCTGCCACCTTACAAGAAGTCCGCCCGCCTGGAGCCGCAGTGCCGCACCAGCGACAGGTGGAAGCCGCAGGAACAGGTGCCGAAGTTCTGCCAGCTTTCTCTCCAGCCTCAGGTGCCTCCAGTTCCTGTTGGGCGGATGGCGAAGGGTGAATTCTGAGAAACTTGCCCCAAGCTGAGCACGTTGCGCCAACCAAGTGCCCGAGATCTTGTTAACGTGTAGCTGGCCAAGCCCCAATTTGCCTTTTCTCAAAGTTGAAATCTTCTTTTGAGTCTATCTGTGAAGAAGAGATGCAAACTGATGCAAGCTCTGGCAGAAGAGCAGAGCTGCTAGTATTGGCGTACACAGTAATTGCCCACCTTATATTTGTACGCACCCAGCTGGCCCTCCTAGGTAGACCAGTGCGGTCGGGAGAGCAACGAAGCGCAAGATACCTTGGTGCGAAGCAAGATTACGACACTCAAAAGTCATGATGCTGCCCCTGGGTTTCTTGCCCAAGATCAGCGCAGCATTAAAATGGTATTCCCGGCTGACAACTGAATGACAGACATCAGCTTCAGATACGAATAAGCCTACGACAGCTTTGACGTGTCAATTGTAAGAAGACGCTGGTGATACAGAAAACGGCTCTGGCGGGACTAGAGAAACACAAAACAAGTGTCTACGTTTTGGATCACGTCCGATCAGTGTGTGCTAGGGTGCCGATTGCATGCCTCAGGTGTATAAGTTCTGGGATGACTCGTATGGGCTTCGGGATGACACGACGTAGGCCAGCTGTTCTTTTCAGACTGCCATTTCTGAGAGTCTCGGAAACGCATAGAGAATCAGAGTCTCGTGATAAGAGGGGAAGACGTGGCTAGAAAGCAACGAGGGCAGGCTGGTGTTGTTGGCTGGTCCGCACTACGTGGCCAGGGTGTGATCTCCGTGGAAGTTTTTCGTTTCTTCGCGTATAAATACGCTACTAATAATATCGAAACAAGACATGCAGATAAAGTAGGCGAGTCGGCCACAGAACCCATATGTGGAAATTCAGTAGTGTGTTGCTTTTGTAAGTCGGATTGATACGGCACGGTCCCGAGCAGCTCAGACTTGAGAATGTTCTTTCATGCGGCGAAGAGTGATTTGGGCGGAGATGTAGTGATCAGGCAAATTCCATATGGGCTGCCAAGAAGTTGGGTGCTGCGTTGAGGCTCTACGGGTGGCAGAAATGGACTCTCCGATGGCGGCCAAGAGTCTGGAGAGCGTCCGATGCAGTGCCAATATTATGGGGGAACCCCATACAGTCGGCACCAAGGGTGGAGGATGAGCGGATGGTTTCGATGCCCAGCAAATCCAAGCCTTTCTGACATGATGTCTGGCGAGGCGAAGCTTTGATAGAGTAGCAGTTTCGAGGCTGGCCAAGTCGGCAGAGGCAGCCGCTGTTGCAGCGAGTCGTGAGACAGGTCGGGGCCGTCGAGGGTGGACTTGTGGAGGGGGGCAGAATGGCGAGTTTGACTGCGCAAAGGCCCTGCAGAAGTCTAGAAGAGGCAAGATGTGTCAGCAGGAAGCAGCAAGGAAGAAGGGAATGCCAAGAGTATGAAGAATCTGTCGAGGGAGAATCCTTGGCAATCTGAGTATCGGACTGAGTCTGGGAGCAGGTTGTGCGGCGTCTCAGCAGCTTTTTTAAGAACAGCAAAGTGTGGTTGCGGAGTGGTGGAACGTGGAACAGAGAGACGACAGAAGCGACGACGACTTTGGGGCCCTTGGGGCCTGCATTCGCCTGCATGTCCCCGGTTTCCCGCATCGGTAGGTGACGGGAGGCCCCTGCGGATGATACGTGAAGCCAAGATTTCCTCCCCCAGGTGGCGCCTGCACGTAAGGCGATGTATCCGTAGTCTCTCTTGTTCGTAGTGTATCCCGTACGGAGTGAGCGGTATGGATGGTACATCGTTGCTGCTGTTTCGAAATCCCCTGACACTAGCTCATGTACAGAGAAACTCGGGCGGCACCCTTGGCGTTGTAACGTCCGCCGTACTGTTTCTGCCGTAGATCTTCCATGGCGCTTGGCTTGACAAAACGTCCATGTTCCCTCTCCTGAGTCCTGAGTGCTTCAAGTGCTTCAGAGAAAGAGGTCCTGCCGGTCTTTACTAAGCACACCTCAACCGACGGGAGACTCTAGCTGGGTAGGTACGTACCCACGTACCTTAAACTACCTATACTTCGCGGCAAGAGACTTCCATAGCTCTTGGCTCTTTCCCTGCCCGGACAGATAGACCTGACAGGGGAGGAGCGTTGGAGAGTTTGGCAACCCACAACCCGCCCGCTAAATGGGAATCGTGAGGGTCTCGAAGGAGGCAGGAACGGGGTAGACCTGGTAGCGAGGAAACAAGATACGTTCGGACATTTTTTTCTCTTAGGTTCTTTCTGCAGTTTACGAGTCCCATCCATCTGCATTCCCTTTTGCGGTTTCCACCCCATTCATCGTCCTCGCCCTCGTCTGTGGTCTCGTCGCAACGAAGCCAAGCTCCAAATCCCGTCCACACTTCCATTGATTCCCATGGCCTACCTACTCTTCTTGCTACGTTTTGCCAGTCTACTCTAGTCCCAATTTGTTTCAACACCCACAACACGAGATGGCCCGTCGTCGAAAGTTCGGTGACACATGCTGGGCCCCGGGCGAATCATGCTTGGCATCTTGAGACTCGCTGCTCTTCAGCCTCAAACCCTCCGAGTCCTGAGCCTCTGGCCTGCAGACTCGCGCATCTGCACCAGCCTGCCATTGGCCTTGGTAGGCACCTTGTGTAGTCCCGCAGACACAGTACATGCCGCCTCTCTGTGTTTCTCAATCTGAAGATCTCGCTCCAGCCTTTCACCTCAAGTCTGCCAAACCCACCCACACCTGTCGCTATCAGGGCTGGCCTACCTAAATGAGGTCGGAGTGAGGCAAGGCTATGCAGTATGGTTTGTCGTTGCTAGCAGTTCGCATCGCTGCAGCAATGCAACGTTAATTTGGCTTCCAGACTCTCCAAGCCTATGCTCAATATCGCCGTTCCTGCATGACGAGGCTCTCTCTGCCTCTCTCTTGGGCTCTTACTCACGTTCAGAGTTGAGGTGAGCATTGCCGCCCGCTGGCGTCGTATCGCCGATCAAGCTCCGCCCGCGGAACCCAGTTCACGTCTTGTCGTCCGACAAATGCGTGTGCGCGTCTCCATCAAGAACCACTCATTGTATTCGTTAGCCCCCCCTTCGATGTAAGCCTGCCACGAGGCCAGCGCCAGAGAGGGCACAGCGACAGCCAAGATACGACATAACCAACACCCCAGGCCGTCCAACCAAACGCAACAAGACAGTCAAGACTAGGTACTGTGTTACCTGCCAGCGCCAAGCCGTGAGCCGGCATGAAGAGGAGGCTCTGTTGATCTTGTGCTGGGATTGGTCCATGGGGATTTCTGGGGCCCTGCTACACACCATCTTCTCGTCTGGATAGCGCATGGCGACGGCCCAGGGGAGTCCCGTTTCAGATGCATTTCAGAGGTCTCAGGCCGTGCATTGCCCAGCACCAACCCTACCCATGGGTGTCCAGTGATGACTAGAGCCGCGACTACATGTTCCGCCTCTCAAACACTCAGACAGGGAGAGATGGGACTGCCCAGCCCATACAAAAGCATAAGTGATTTCCCCTCTTTCATGCTGTGCTGCCTCTTCTTGGACCTTTTCCCGCTCGACCGTTTCCACCCTTTTCTTCTTGTCAAACTTCCTTCTTCACTTCTCAACAGCGCACTGGGGGCAGCTTAGACTTATTTACCATACAATTTTTCTCTCCTTTCTCTTCCGTCGAAACGAACCTCACGAATCTCTAACGAAACGATCACGAAAATCGACAAGATGGGTCTCATTCTTCCTCTCCGAATTGTCCAGGGTGTTCTGGCGTTGGTGATCCTCGGTCTCTCGGCCTTCAGTACGTGATGAGGAACCTATGGTGGCTAGGGTGGGAGAGAATTATGCGCTGACTGTGTGCTTGCAGTCGCCAACTGGTACAACATGGACACGATGACTTCGTCCCCGTCCCAGGTCAACTTCTTGGTCTTCGTACCGCTCTGGTCTTTCATTTCGATTGCCTACCTCGAGCTTGTTCCCAAGTTCGCTCCTAGAGGTGAGTCTCACCCCATCTTCCAAGTTGAGATTTGTTTGAAGTGAAACAAATCAACTAACACCATGTTAGCCTCCCACCCCTGGGGTGCCGTTGCCTTTGAGCTCCTGAACGTCCTCTTCTACTTCGCCGGCTTCATTGCCCTCGCCGTCTTCCTCAGCAAGCTTCTCTTCTGCCGTGGCACCGTGTGCGCTGTTGCCCGTGCTGACACCGTCTTGGCCGCCTTCGAGTTCGCCCTCTGGTCCGGCACCTCCCTCCTCATGGTCAAGGATGTTTTCAAGACGGGGTTCCGCAAGCCCAGCGCCGCTGGCCCCCCTCCTCAGATGAAGGAGTCTGCGTAAGCTACGCCGACTCCTTCAAGTCTTTCCACGTCGCCCTTGAGGAGCGCAGACGTGAGGCATCTGTGGAACTGATTAGAGCCAAGCGGATGCCGTCGTGGGACCGCAAGAGCGATCGAAAATCCATCTGGGAACTCGACCAGAGACGCATCTACGGCCCGGGATTTAGTGATGTGAACCTCGTCTAGATGACTGGTTCACACGAAACGGGAAATGGGGGAAGTAACAGCAGTGGATGTGTTTGGTGTCAATCGGTTGACACTGAACCCAAGGTACAACGGAAAAAAGTGCGTGAATCGGATACAGTTGGTTTTTGGGTTGGTCATTTTCAATAAGGACGTAGATGCTATCCGTATTATTACTATTCTATAGGCTGCGGTCTGTAGTCTTCCTACCCATAATCTCTTAGTCTTGGTTCACCTACTTTTGCCGCGTGCTACTTTGACATCGACGTTGAACAAAAATCCATACGAAAGGGGTTGATACCACCACTTACATGGCTTTTCCAAGAGAACCCACGTCGGCGTTGTCATGCTACGTTCTTAAAAAAGGCATTTATTAATTTAAATCCGAACAATGATCTACCACTAAACATAGTTTAAGAGGAAGAGGCAAACAGGGAGGTCAGCGCGTACAACGACGTGGCGGTTCTTATTGGATACACTGCCGCTGGAGACCACTCGTACTGCGTATAGGGGTGCGCATTTGTACTATGTACTTAGAGTGACCGAGTGGATAAGGCAGTTTTTGGTGGGGTTGTAAATCACCGACTGGGAGTCCCTGCTTGCCCGTCAACTCTGAGCCTTCTGAAGGGTGGCTGAGTTGGGCGAGCGGCAATGCGTGTTATTGGGCTTCATTAACATTTTCATGTCCCTCCTGAAGCATATGAATTGGATTACGGAGTTGCCCCCTCTTTGAAATTTCCATCCGAGTAGACTGACTGTGCTTGCTACCTTGCATCGTACTACGGCATGCGGCATGTAGTACAGGACAAACGAGATCAGACTACGTTTTTGGTTTGGTTGTTCCGCATGTTCTTCTTTGTTGGGGCCTTGGGATGTGATACGGGGTACTTCTGGATGAACAACTTAACGAGTCTATGTCGTGCTTTCATGTTTCCCGACTATACCCAAGGTAGCTGTTCAACAGGTCATGATTGTTTGTGTGTCCACACTTGGAGGCTGTTTCTTTCAAGCCGTTTGCGGGAAAACGATTCGACCGGTTCAATGATTTCTGATCCACACAGTTCACTTCTCCAGAGTCCACGACCGACATCCGCGGGCCGGCATCGTGAGCCGTGGGACCCGGTCGAGGTGAGGTTGTCGGGGGTGGAAGCGTTCCTCGAGTCGGCCGGTAGACGGTGTCTTGCAAAGGTAAGTCTGTCCGTGGTTGCGTTGAAAAGAAAAGTCAATTGGCCCCCAAACTTGCACCCCACACGTGAATAACGACACGGTCAAGAGCTAGGCTTCCACTCTCCATACAGCAATCTTGCCTCCTATCTTTTGGTCAGCAAGACGCAGAATCTCACTGTGTTAATGAAGACAAGTCCAATGAGACGATTAGGCACTCGGTGAACCATCGGCCGGCAACCACACCGATTGACAAGAAAACTTCTCCAAATCTCGCGGGGGGGTCTAGTGGGTTTCTCTGCCTCCCGTTGCCCCTCCTTTGGTGCCATTTGCCCCGCAAAGTGACATTTCGGCGTCGATTGCGTGCTCTGGCCAAGCCCCACCCCCATTGCCTAAATCGGCGCTCTCTTCGCACCTCAAAGCTCCAAGAGCTCTCACCTCACCAGCACTTCACCTCGCATGAGCGACGAGAGAGCCAGCCGTTGCTGCAGCATCGTAAAAAGATGAGAAATGTGACAAGCTCTCATTTTTCGACGGAACCAAACTATTGGACGTTTTCCTCGGATCCAATTGGCTATTATTCAAGCTCCCTGGTAGCTGACCGCGGGATTTGGAGGGGTCCCCTCCTCCATCGGGAAACGATACCTTTGAGAAGTTGCTTCCTTGAGATAGCTACCTTACCTGGTAGACAACTTTTTCTCTTCGGTCCCTGGTGACCCTCCTTACAAGGCCAAGAGGTCAATTGCATATACATACACTCATACAACAGTCTGACCTATGGTGTGATGTCCCCTCAATGGCATCATCGTAGCTAGCCCATTTTCTCTGCCTCACTCTTCCCATTGCTGGACAACGACCCCTACTTACCCCCCTCCCCCTCCCCTCTTCCGTGCTCTTCGTTTGCCGTTGCGTACTCCGTTGCCGGCCCGTCTCTTTTGTGTGTGTCTCTCTCTCTCTTAAGCGCGTCACCGTCCCCGTTGCTCTTGTGCTCGCACACCTTTAGAGAAAACCCGCCTCCTTCCCCTCCTCATCTCTTCTCCGTGTCTCCAATTCCTCCCTCTTTCTGTATACACATTATTTGCTAAAGAATAAAGTTAAACTTGAACAATGGCTGAAGAATTGAGCAAGAACTTTGAGACTCTCCAGCTCCATGCGGGGTACGTATGCTCTCTTTCATGACCACTGCCCACCACCACCACACCGAGCAAACATGCCTTCGGGGGAGGAAAACAACCTTCCCGTTGCTTTTGGAGCTGTTCGAGACCTGATAACAAGCTGACGTGTGGGGATTATCGTGTCTCTGTAGCCAGGAACCCGACCCAACCACAAACTCGCGCGCCGTCCCAATCTACGCGACAACGGTTCGTAAAACCTTCCCGACGACGACGAGCAACCAAGCCTTCTTCTCTCGCGAGCGCGGGCGCAAACATCGCAGTGCTGACAGCTGATCTCAATATGTGTAGAGTTTCACCTCCAATGACTCCGCTCACGGCGCGAGGCTCTTTGGCCTCAAGGAGTTTGGCAATATTTACAGCCGTATCATGAACGTACGTCAAAGTCACACTTTCCTCGACAACCTCATGTTATATAGTGTACCAAGCTTGAAAACTGACCGTGCCCTCCTTTCCACTCCTCCAGCCCACCGTCGACGTCTTTGAGAAGCGCATCGCCGCGCTCGAAGGCGGTGTCGCGGCCCTGGCCACATCCTCTGGCCAAGCCGCCCAGTTCATCGCCATCAACGCCCTCGCGCACGCCGGCGACAACATCGTCTCCACCTCGCTGCTGTACGGCGGCACATACAACCAGTTCAAGGTCTTCCTCCCCCGCCTCGGCATCCACACAAAGTTTGTCGACGGCGACCGCGTCGAGGACATCGCCGCCGCCATTGACGACAAGACCAAGGCCGTCTATGTCGAGAGCATTGGAAACCCAAAGTACAACGTCCCGGACCTCGAGGCTATTGCCAAGGTTGCGCACGAGAAGGGCGTCCCCGTCATTGCAAGTCCCCCCCCCCCCCCCCCCCCCCCCCCCCCCCCCCCCCCCCCCCCCCCCCCCCCCCCCCCCCCCCCCCCCCCCCACCACCCCCCCACCCCCCCACCCCCCCCCACCCCCCCCCCCCCCCCCCCACCCCCCCCCCCCCCCCCCCCCCCCCCTTCCGTCTCCATCGCAAGTTGCACCAACATCAGACGGCAAGCTAACACCGGAAACCCACAGGTCGACAACACCTTTGGCGCAGGCGGCTACTTCATCCGCCCCATCGACCACGGCACCACCATCGGCGGTGTCATCGTCGACAGCGGCAAGTTCAAGTGGGACAACGGCCGCTTCCCGCAAATGACGGAGCCCTCGGACGGCTACCACGGCCTCAAGTTCTGGGAGACGTTCGGCCCCATCACCTTCATCATCCGCGCCCGCGTTGAGATCCTCCGCGACCTCGGCGCCTCCCTGAACCCCTTTGCCGCCCAGCAGCTCATTATCGGCATCGAGACCCTGTCGCTGCGCGCCGAGCGCCACGCGCAAAACGCACTCGCGCTCGCCAAGTGGCTCGAGGCTAGTGACTACGTGAGCTGGGTGTCGTACCCCGGTCTCGAGAGCCACCCGTACCACGAGACGGCCAAGAAGTACCTCAAGCGCGGATTCGGTGGTGTCTTGAGCTTCGGCGTCAAGGGCGGTGGTGATGCTGGTAGCCAGGTTGTTGACGGCTTCAAGCTCATTTCCAACCTCGCCAACGTCGGTGACTCCAAGACCTTGGCTATTCAGTGAGTTTGCGACCCTTCTATAACGGCGTGAGAGAGCACTGGTTCTCTCTTTCTCTTCCCCAAAATAGTTCCACCCGCTAACCATGGCCAAAAAGCCCCTGGACCACCACCCACGAGCAGCTCTCCGACGAGGAGAAGACGAGCTCCGGCGTCAGCGAGGACCTCATTCGCATCTCGGTCGGCACGGAGCACATTGACGACATCATCGCCGACTTTGAGCAGTCCTTCAAGAATGCCTCCTCCGCGTCTACCACGGGCAAGCCCGCCCCCGCGGCCGAGACCAAGCAGGACGACGCGCCGCTTGCGCCGTAGCTCGGTGACAAGACATGCGCGCGCCTGAAATGATTGATTTCTGTTTTTTGCCTTGTTTTTTTCTGCCAAATGTACGAGAACGATAAAATACCCGTAGAAAAAGCAACTTACGATTCTTGTCTTACCTGGTCGCCCTGTCTTGATCAATACGTGGCTTTGTTTGCATGGAGAGAAAAGAGAAAGCCGAAGAAACGCCATCATGCTTGAAACACCCCCTTGATCGTTCCTCGTGCAACATGATCAGAGACACTCGCAAAGTTTTGACCCAGCCAAGTCACCGTTGCCCAGGCCTGGATTCCCGCGTCCGACGACGTCCGCTGTAGATGTGATAAGCAAGGGACGAGTGGCGCACATCACACATCTGCCACGCCAGTCCATGCCCGACCCAAGCCATGAAAGATACCCAGGCACACCAGGTACCGAAGATCAGAAGGAAAATGGATGCGCGTGAAAAAGTGAACCCCTCCTGATCCCTGGTGTCCATCCTCCGATAAGAAAGTTGTGTGATCAGCCCGGCCTAGCTTCCCCCCGTGGCAACTCGCAAAGCACGCAACGAAATGAAACGTGCCGACGCCACAAATTCCTAGTGGGCGGCGCGACGGCATTTTTAGTCTTCACCTTTCTTGTGTGGATATGCGAAAACACATGTTGCCGTTGCAATGCGATGGAGACCCAGTGATTTGGGCGGCAGATATTCGTGGGGGTTGATAGATACAGGAGCTGAGATGGAGTCACAAGGTTGACGGACTGACAGCTGTTCTGCGTACATACAACCCTACGAACAAACCCTCAGAATCGCGGGAACGAAGAAACGTGCGGGATCCCGACAAGGTCTGTGGTTGTAATCCGACCCGGCCAAAAACCGGCGCCGGTGCGAATAAGTAGGTAGCTCCCAACTGGAATGGGCGGGGGGGATGTTCACCGTCTCCACAACCCCCCCGGCGCGCGGTAGACGACCACCGGTTTACTCCGCCAACGGACTCTGATTGGCCGAGAGAGGTTCGCTCCATTCAACGACGCCTCTTGTCTTGCTCTCTCTCTCTGTGTGTGTCCCATCCCCATCCAAGCTCCAAATCCCACGGCCCGCCGATTTTAGCTATATTCCTCGACATCCCACCTCGAAGAACATCACGGAAATCCTCCCCCGCCCTCTCGACAAAGTCTTCTTTCGTCTCCCTTTCGTTACCCCGTCTCTTCTTGCTTGTCGTTCTTCCTTCCGAATCCCCTCCCTCGCCCAAGAACCACCCAACGAATATTCTCGGTCGACACCGCCCCATCTCGCAATGCGCCTCCTCACAACCCTCGCCCTCGCGGCGACATCAGCATCCGCCGCCTCCCTGACCCTCTCGATCCCCTCCTCCCAAGCCCTCCCGAACCCCTACACCCTCCCGCCGTCAACCCACGCGACGCTCTCCTCCCTCGGCGCCACCTTCTCCGCGCCCCTGTCCGTAAAAAACACGTTCGTCTTCCACAACCTCACCGGCGGCGGCGGCGGCAGCGGCAGCGCGGGCTCCTCCTACCTCGTCGACATCCACTGCGCGACCCACGCCTTCGCGCCCCTGAGACTCGATGTCGATGCCGAGGGCGGGTTGGCGGCGTGGGAGACGTACCGCGGTAACGATTGGGATAACAAGGGCGAGGCGTATGCGGCCAAGGAGTTTGAGGGCGGTGCGAAGGGGTTTGAGGTCAGGGTGTTGGGGCAGAAGAATTACTTTGTGGAGAGGAGCAAGTGTGAGTATTTTCTCGTCCCGTCTTTTTCCCCTTTCGTCCCTATGACCTCCTCTATGAATTTAACAGTGTTGGGTTTGTTTGGTGTCTATGGCGAGGAAGCAGAGCTCCCAGAGCTGTCGGCACTTTTCACGACAAGCACCTCTTTCCCGAGATATCGAAACAACCGGGGAGCACGGAAAACGCTGACAACCCAACCTCGCAGTCTCCATCCTCACCATCCTCAAGAATCCCATGATCCTCCTCGGCCTCATCAGCATGGGCATCTTCCTCGGCATGCCCTACCTCATGGACAACAGTACGTTCAGAACCCGAACCTCTTCCCCCGTTCCTTGACGGAAAGTCATCCTAACACGAACCGTTTTTTAGTGGACCCCGAAATGCGCGCCGAGTTCGAAGAACGCCAAAAGAGCAACCCGATGAACTCCCTCCTCGGCGGCGGCGGCGGGGGCGGCGACGCGAACCCCATGGCCAACTTTGACATGGCGGGCTTCCTCGCCGGCACCGGCAGCAGCAGCAAGAAGGAAGAGTCTTCCGGTTCTGGTGCCTCGAGTGGTGGGGCTGGTGGGAAGAAGGAGAAGGGCGTGCGGAGGTGAGAGAGAGTGTCGTGGAAGAGGGAAGCAATGCGGGGGAGGCAGAGTACAATTACACGGTTGTTCAAGATTGTTATCACGGCCCCTATAAGACATGGGGTACAGCCTACGGCGCTTCTTAGACCTCGATTCCCTATAAATTACGTTTTACGAGCTTTGGTGAAGTAAGGATATCGGAAGCCCGTACTGCCATTAACACTTTCTTGCGTGTCATTGGGCTGGTGATCATGCCTTACCTCGGGCAGCCCAGGTATACGTGAAACCGTCCGCAACACCGGTTCTCGTCACCAGCACAGTAGGCGCCCGTTTATATGGGCGGGTCAGGTCAGACTACGACGGTGGAGTGGTTGAAGCAACGTATACTCCAAGGAAGTCGAGGTGGCGCCGGCCGAGAGGCGCGAGTTGAGTGGTTCGTATCCGTCATTGCCTACTTATTTTCGTGTTTCTGTTCTGTTACTGATAGTAGTATCAAGATTGGATCTGCAATGCTACAAAGATATATTCGTCGTCACACAGGCTGATGCATCATAGCGTTCGTCTGAAAAGGCAAAGAGACATGATGTTCGAATGCAACAGGGGCTCTTTTTACTCATGAGAAGAACGCATATTAGACGCAGCGATGCCCCCCTGAAACCCGCCCTAGTCCACCCCTTTACCTGCCAGCCATTCTCTCATGATCCATTTAGTAAGGTACGTTAAAATAAGCTGGCCGTAATCCAGTATCAGTCACTTAGAAGTCACCTCCAAAGTCGTCACCACCGCCGAAATCATCATTGTCCTGTCCGTCGTCTGTACCAAAGTTAGCAATTATTCAAATATCAAGCCTTAGACTCAAAGGGTGCAACTTACTGTATCCATCAGCGTACGCCTCCTGCTGCTCATCATTGATGTGATCCGCAATCAGGGCACCACCAAGCAGACCGGCACCGGCACCAAGCGCAAGACCGCCCGCCATACCCATGCCGCCGCCGCCGGCTTTCCGACCGCCGCCCATTCCACCCATTCCACCCATGCCCCGGCCGTAGCCCTGCTGCTGGGGATATCCGCCATAGCCCTGCTGCTGAGGGTATCCTCCGTAACCCTGCTGAGGCGGATAGCCGCCATATTGCTGCTGAGGGGGGTAACCGCCATACTGCTGCTGGGGCGGGTAGCCGCCGTATCCTTGCTGCTGGGGATACCCTCCGTACTGCGGCTGGGCGTGGCTCGAGCTGCCCATGCCGCCTGTCTTGGCCTTGCCCAGCAGCTTGCCCAAGAAGCCGCCGGAGCTCTTTCCCCTTGTCTCTTGCGCGCGGGGCGGGAGCTGGTCGGGGAACGGCGACTGCGACTGCTGGTGTTGCTGCTGCTGGAGGTTGTAGCCCGGCGGCATAGGGGAGTGGCTGCCGCCGCCGCCGCCGCTACGAGCGCGAGCTTCCTCCTCGGCCTGGAGCTGGCGGGCTAGGCGCTCGTCCTCGGACATTGTGTTGGAGCCGCCTGCGCCGGGCGGCTGCGGGGTCGAGGACTGGTTCTCGTAGGGGTTGCCCTTTTGGTCGTAGGGGTTGTGCTTTTGGTCGACCGGCGGCGTCGGGTGGTCGCCGGGGCGCGGGGCGTAACCCGGAGGGGGGCCGCCCGGGTGCCCGTCTTCTGCTGGTGGGGGAGGGGGAGGGAGGGCAGGCTCTGTCGGCTTATCCCATTGAGATTGTTTGGTGTGGAGGTTTACGTAGAACCTGGAAGTGCGTTTGTTAGCGTCGGCGAGCATAATGAAAGAGAGACAGATAGTTATTGAGGTAGTGATGTCTGGGCTTACCATTCTTTGTACTGGTCGTTCCATCTAGCGATCCAGCCGGGAGGAACCTCGGGGGCCTTGGGAGGCGGGGGACCCGACGGGGGAGCGAAATCGTCGGCCATGTGTAGTATAGTAAAGTCAGGCGCAGAAGTGGTAATGCTGCTCAGATGCGATTAGAACTTCTCGGTGGTGCGAGACCTTTCAATCGATCGATGTGGTTCGGGGTAGATTGTTTGGTGTAGGTGAATGAGTTGTGGGTGTGTATATCTATGCGAATGGACGAACAAAGTTTCTTAGTCTCGACAGCTACTTCAGATAACTCGAGAAATCTTTGTAGAGGGAAAAAGGTACCAATGTTCGAGGTTGGGATGAGATGGAATTTTGGGGGAAGGGAAGAGGGAAAGTATTGCCTCCTACCTCTTACCACGGGGTGTCAGGTGTTGTAATGGGGAGGCGCAATAGGTCGATTGGAGCTGGGCGCGGAGGGCCGGGATTACGTCTTTCAGTTTTGGAACGGTTCCCTTCCCCCTCCTCTAGCTAACCGGAGGGAACCTAGACTGCGTACCCAATAACACCCCGATGTTTCCGCTGCTCCCGCCTTCCAGAGGCATCTTGGCGGATAATTAGTGGAATAAGGAAGTAATTCACCGAGGCTTCGTGTCTTCACTCACTGAACCTGGCACCTTCTCGAACGGTACGGCGAGTATGGAGATCACAGTCGCTGCTGTCCGTCGTGTCGATGACATGATGTGCTGGCAGGGTGCCAAGCTTGGATAGAGGACAAGAGGCACAAAGGGTACGGATAGCTAGACAATTACCTACGTAAGGCAAAGTCAGATCGCAGCCGGGCTCTAGTCCCCTTCGATCCCGTTTCTCGAAGCTGCTCTCACTGCCATTGTGTGCCTATCTCGCCTCTTCCAGTCCGGTCCAGAGTCCAGTCCCATCCTGCGGGTTCCATCTTGGCTATGCTGCAACAGCATGATGCGAGCTGCTGCGAGCTGCAAAGCACAGCCCCTCCCTCTCCGCTGATGCTTGTCCAGCGGATTTACCTAGGTGCCCCTCACGCCGCCGCCCCTCACCTGTGGCCCCCCCGCCCTCTCATACCTCTCTGCCAGTGGCCACTCTGCCTGCCTGTTCGCTTTCCCACTGCGACCCGGGATGCCGGAGAGCCGATACGCAAGGCAAGGTATCTGACAAGTCCCTCTGCAGCGTAGAACAAGCTTTCTTATACCCTGACGGTACCCCTCCCCATCTGCAGTAAAACCGATTCCCCTCCAAAAAAGCTACCTCAGGTCCAACTGGAAACGTCTCGCACAGGCCCGTCAATGATGGAGCCTCAAGGTACCGAGGAGTTTGACCCTTCGCTCCAGTGTTCTCATACCTTGTTAATAAGGTACTTTCTTTGAATCTTTGAATGGATGGCAAACAAGTAATCATTGACGACGCACAAAAACTGTGGCTGGTGACATTTTTGCCCTCGTAGTTTAACTCATCATATGGCAAAGTGACTCTTCTGCCTGCTTGACAATCGAATAGACGGAATCATCAGGCGAGGTACAGGTGACCCAGCCCATCTCTTCCCCCGGTGTGGCGGTGCCCTCCAATACCTGATCATCAACTTCAACCCTCGGGTCGTGATGCTCACACATACCAAAGAGCAAAAGTGAGAGGGTCAACAACCAAGCCCCCTGCGCCAATGCTAGCCCATTTCCCCCATTCCGCTTCGTTTCCAAGAGAACCACTTCTCCCGGGCGAAGGCGTTGACCTTTGGGGATTGCGAAGACACCTGTGGCGCAGCATACCTCAGGTTCTTGGCATTGTCACTTCCAACTTCATGGCCCCAATTCAGCAACTCACACAGACGTACAAATCCACAAAGGCCGGTCATCAGGTTCATCAACATATAACGAGGAAGAAGTGCCACCAAAAAAAGCAAGGTTCCATCGAAAAAAGGGCCCTACCCTCAGGCGTCTATCCCATCTAGACACATAAGCACGCTAGTGCAGGCAAAACTCCTGGTTCCTCTCAAGTATACAATTTCTCCAAGTGCTGTAACAAGCAAAAACAATAACTACAGGTATCGTGAGTAAGACCTGCCTCATGGCAGGCCTCTCTCGTCCCGTCTCCTCTCTCCAAAGAGGTAGGCCGCCTCCATGCAGTAGGCGCCACCTCCGCTGGCCATCCGCCGCTCGCTGCCGTAGCAGATGACGACCGCATCCAGAATGCCACTGAGAATACCTTCCATGGCGCCCATGACCGAAAATCCAATAAAACTGGCTACTATGCCAACCACGTATGCGTACGCCGAGCCCCGTACCCCCATTCCGTCCGGCAGAGCGATAGAGAGCTGCTTCGCCGTCATGACCCATCCTGCAAAACCGAGTCCCGTTGCCATGATGAACCGTGTCGCATATAGAAGCATCTTTGCGAGCCGATAAGGAAGTAAAGGGGAGTGACTGGATCGCCGTGTGCTGAACACATGCGGTGTCAGGGTTGTCGTAGGGCGTTGTGGGGACAAGAAGTCCATCTGGCTGAGGCCGCGAGCCGCCGTGTGGAGATTCTGGGAGTGAATCGCTCCGTAGGTTATGGTGAGAGGGTTCGTGAGCGCTGCGATGGGCGTCGGAATCCACATGGCAGCAATGTGCTGCAGGATATTAGCCATCCTGCGTGGCAGCACGAGCAGCGGCGCCCGGATAAGCAGCGCAATCAACGTCGACTCGCAGATGCTGCCAAATATGGTCGTCGTCGCGTGGTTGAGCGCGGCCGTGACAATCTCCGCCGACGTTGGGGCCGGCGCCGCGTTGCGGTGGAAGTACCATTGGGATACTGTCGCTGCTGTAGTCGCCCGTTGCACCGCATTGATGACTCCAATCGTCCACATGTACATCAGCACGAACCAGATACCCAGCCACCAGCTGGACACGCTGATGATGAACCTGGCAAGTCTTCTGGAGAAGTATCCTCCCAAGAAGATTCTCGAGAACATCCACATCCAGACCCAGGTCCACGTCACTATGATTGCGAGACAGCTGAAACCCAAGATGAGGAGTGCCGTGTTTGCTGCAAGAATTCTCGTGGAGAACTCCAATATCTCAATCGCCTGACGGATGGCGTTGCGGCCCTGCCAAGCCATGTACACCCAGACACAGGCTGCGATGCCAGGGACAAGAGCAGCCCATCGCATCGCTCGATCTTGGAAGCTGGCCCCATGTGATCTGCCTTCATAGCTAGAAATAAAGGGGTATAGTGTGAATGAAAACATGATGATGGGTACTGCAACAAGAATCACCATTGCCACCGGCCTGGCAAAGGATCGAAGCGCCGCGAGCCACACAAAGGATACCAGGATCGAAATGAGAGTATCCACAGCGAGCATGTGAAAGGATGCTTGTAATGTTGTATAGACGGTGTCACCCCATCCCTTCTTGGGCGTGCCTGTGTGTAGCCAGACAAGCACAAATGTAGACACCAGACCGGCAAGCGCAATAAGGAAGATCCAGGCAAAGAACGGGTCATACTTGAAGAGTTCTCCTTCGATCAGGGGGACAGTGGCAGGCAGGGCCTCATCGTCGGAGCTGGCCCGGCGGGCCTCGTCAAAGTCATCTTCTCGAGTAGCTTCCCTCCTCAGTGGGAACTTGCGGTCTCCGGACTTGGATTGAAACTTCTGGAAGGCGGGCGGGCTCGAGTCCGTGGCCGCCTCGTTCAGCAGCGACGCAGATGGGTCGTCGTCGTCCATGATCTGGGAATCTAGCCCAATGTCGACCATTTTAGGATTCGTATCTGACTCCCGGTCGGAAGTTTCTCGCGGGACATCCTCCGACTCTTCGTCTATGACATCCCTCCCACGATTCCGTCCACTGAAGCTCCTCGTACCGTTCCAACTGCTGCGAATACCTCTCCGCAACCCGCGATCCTGGTATCTTCGGCCCGGTGTTTCGCTGCTCTGTTCCAACGAGCCGCGGCTAGCGTCTGGTTCCGTCTCGGAGCTCTCTGCCATCTTGCTCGCGGCGGCCACGCGCCGAGACATGTGGAGGGCGGTCATATCCGCAGCCTCGCGATCCCTCTCGTCTTCTTCGTCCTCCTCCATGTACTCATCGAGCGTGCTGTGGAATAGCGGTGCATCCTGGGCGGCGGACATGCGGGAGGCAAAGCCCATTTGACCATAACGCGAACCGCCTGTCTGGTAGGGGTTTCCTCCGTAGCCTCTACCTAGGAAGGAGCGCCCGCCATTTCGAGGAGGGCCTCGCGATGACCAGTCGTTCGGTTGTCGTGGTGGGTTCTCATTGCCTTGATCTTGGCCCGCAAAGTTGGACAGTCGGGACTGTGATTGCGCCAGAAACCTGGACGCATCTGGGGGCGAGTCAGTTAGTTGACCGCCATCGCTAGGCGTCGCCGAGGATGGTTCAGCAGCGGTGTATGAGACTTACATTCCGAGAACATGGTGCTACCGATAGCGAGGACCTTGTCCCCTCAGAAAAAGTTTGCGTTCTCTTGGGAGGTGGCAGAACAGGAACGCGGGACGTCGGGGCAAATAAGTGTCGGGCTGGCGAAGGTCCTATGAATGATGATGCCGGACAAAGAGTGAACGGCTGGAATGTTTGGGTGCCGGCGGCGGCGGTGGACACTAATGGTATACGCAAACAGAACGTTGGAAAGAGACGGGTCGACGGCAGTTCCTGCGGATGGCCTATTCTTGGACCGGAGAGAATGCCACCTTTGAGATAAGGTAAGGACAATAATTCTGATCAAGCCCGGAGAGCTCGTGAGAAGGGCATCTGCACCGGGTTCTGGGAAGAGATATGAATCAAAGGTCATGCGGTACGGACGAAGAGGTGAAAGGTGCCTAGGCCGGTGAGTGACTGATGGAAGTGGACCGGGCCAGTGAGGGAACTAGGTGGGAAAGTACATGGATGGCCGGGGGGGTTGCCTTCTGGGATGCCCGTGGAAATCCCACCACCCAAGGTACCTACCTACCTTAGGTAACCCAAGGCTTTACCCGCCTGTTGCTGTTAGGCAGCGCGGACGCTGATGCAGCCTAAGCAGTGGCACACAGATGGCACACGACACCTGCGACACCGCCCACACGACAATGACAAGGCACCTTTTACCTGTGAACCCTTCC